AAAGGAGTACTTGCACTTTGGGGTCTCTCGACTCCATGATGTGGGAGTTCTGTAAAAGGAGTTCCTCTGGCATATAATTCTTCTAGAGAAGTAGGTGTTATTACGCCATCTTTCTCCCATTCTTCAATGAATTCCTTGTAGGCGTCCGCTAGGACTCCACCCCTTTCCAGCAGTCGAATAACGGATTTGCTTCGCTGTTCTCCAGTTATTAGATTTGGTGAAACATTATCATAGAATGTTCTGTTTTTTAAGAGAGGAGCTATTACTCTTCCATCCGGTGCTCTTTTGATTAGGCTTAAGTATTTTTCCAATTCGACTTCATTAGCTGCTTCTTCCTCTTCTTCATTTCCAAAAATCTCCACTCTATCAAGACGAAGATATCGAGTAATTTCTTCATTTAATTCGAGATCCAGTGAATTATCTATTCTTGCTCTTACAGTAAATACAATTGATTTATTTATGGTTATTGGTAGTTTGACTTCAGGTTCCCAATTTCCTCGAGGAATGAGACCAAGATTTGATTTGAGGAGCTGGAATTGTTTATTTGATACAAAGGGTTGTAGTCCTCCCGAAAAAATAGGAACTAAATCTTTACCTCCAATAATTAAGTCAAATGGAACGTCAGTAGAGTCAATAGTTCTTCTGTCGGCTAATAAAGTTTCGTATTCCTGCATCCAGGCCAGTGTTTGTGGATTAGATCCCTCCCAAGGTCTATCCATAGGGACTATAAGAGCTTTAATAGTCATAGAAAAATTAGGATCCGTAGTGCTATGCAATGGGACTGTTACGTAAACTCTTGATATGAAATCCCGATCGTTTTTATTTACTCCAGAGATTCTGAATCCAGTGGAATGCCGATCTTCCTTTAGGTTCAGCCTTGCCACTACATCTTCAGTTATAAGGTTTATTTGAGCTCCGGAGTCTAGGAGAGCAAAAATGGGTTGATTACTTTCTGATTCAATCAATGCAGCAGTTTCCACAAAGGAGTTAGGGTAAGATCCTCGAGTTAGATTGACATGAACATGTTCCAAGCCTAGTCAGGATTTCTTTTCCGCCTCAACAGTTCCAGTTAGAGGAATATAATGATCATTGAACTTGCTTTCCAAACGAGTTAGAATTTCTTTTAGTTCAGAGCTGACTTGAGAGGGAATATCACCACTGGTATTGGTGGAATTAGCTGTTGAATTATTCTTAGATTGCTGAGTTTCTCTCTTTATTGGGCAAATAGAAGAATGATGATCTTTGCTGCAGTGATAGCAACGGTATCTGCTTTTACACAAAAAGTTTCTGTGACCGGGTTTAAGACAATTCCAGCAGAGTTTTCTTTCTTGAATGAGATTTCTTTTTTCCTGTAAGGACTTAGGGCATAGGTAGACAGAATGTGAAAGATCACAGAAGGTACATTTGGCCAGTTTAATGTTATTGTCGAAGTGGGATTTTGGATTATTTCTATTGTCAGATCGATTCTGATTATTATTTTGATTCCAAGGAGGATTATTAGAGTACTTAGGTCTTTGAACTTTAAAGTCCGGTCTGTGTTGTTGCTTGAACTTTTGAGTTTCAGATGCGTATATGAAATTATCTTTAGCTGGTTTAGTTTTTTCATCCGATTTCTTTGTTTCCTGAGGAACAGCATCAGATACAGTTGTTTTGTAAATTGAGGTTTTGGGTTCTTTTGTCCGTAGGACTCCTGTATCGAGTTTCTCCCAATACCAACGATAAATTTCTTCTGGGTCTTTTTCCCACTTGATTTTTACTTCTTCAGTTACTTGTCCTTTAAGGATGTCATACATATTTCCCATGTTCAAATTTTTAAAGACGCATGGCCAAATTCTTTTATGGATATAGAAAATGTCCTGATTTAGGACCGTCAATTTTGCGACATAGTTAACAATTTCGCTCATATAATCTGCAACTGATTGTTTTGTTTCATCTGCTGGAGTAAGTTCTTCAATTGAATCAAAAATCTTTTGGGTAATTTGATTTACGTCCCCGAATTTTGAGAATAACATTCGAACTAGAGTCAAATAATCCTTTTCCCGGTCCTTTTGATGCAGGCCATTAATTTCGTTCAAGATTTCTTCGTCGAAATGCATAAGCAATAGATTTCGTCTTTGCGGTGGAGAGAATTCATTTACTGGAGCCTCATGAATAGGTCGGAAAATGTTCCACACTCTATCGAAGTCGTTATCGAGAGTTGATTTTATTTTAAATTTTCGGAAGTTTTTCATAACCTTATTAGTATAGTTTTGGATGTATGCGTCAGGATCAGAACATAGGGACTTGCCTTTGCCATATCTTTGTATTTCGCTGTCTATATAAGAACTTTCAAGTTGTATGGAAAAGGAAGAGTGAGTTTGATTAGTTCCACAAGAAGACGGAGGAGCAGAATTTAGATCGTGTTCAATTTCCATAGAGCAATTATTTATGATTTCGACTGTTTGATTAGTAGGATTGCATATTTGTCCATCGGAGGGACTGATTAAAGAGGAGTTTCCGGTAGGAGAAGTTTGTGATTCAGAAGAATCACTTGGGATAGCAGGAAAAGAGATTGATAAGATTTTTCTTTCTTTTGGTCTTAGTAAATTCCAGTTGAGTTTTAAACCCTCAAGAGTTTGTGTTGCCAAAAGACTTATTTCATTCTGCAATACCTTTATTTCGTTGATATTTTCTTCCGATAGGAAATCAAATTTGAAAGAATCAAGGAATTCAATATGCAGAAGAAGTTCATCCAGAATTTCTCCAAACAGTTTATTTTTCTTTTCTTCGTTCTTTTCCCTTATAGCCTCATCTCCTTTTCGAATAGTTCGAATAATCAAGTACAGTTTTGGAGTTAATTTTCCAAGTGGATTTAAGGTTTGAGATAGTCTTGATGAAGAAATAGCCTGAGGTCTCAAAGATCTGCGTCTAGTATTTAAAGGTGTTCCTCTTGCTGATTCTCTCGATAAGCTTCTACTTCTGGATATTATTCTATTTGCTAAGACAGAACCTCTTGGGCGACCTCTTCCTGCTGGCATTTTTGAGTTTAGTTTTTCTTAAAACAGATGGGAAAAGAGTTCCCCTTTTCAGAACACAATCCTTGGAGGATTTTTTCTCGCTTTTTTGCTCACCTTGGATGTCGTATAGTCCGTTGGATTGCAGATTCTTTCACTGATTTCACTTGTTTTTCTGCTCTTTTTTCTCCCTTTTCTCTCTCTCTCTCTCTTTTTTTTCTTTCATTCTCCCTCTCTGATTGCTTGTCGCAAACTCACTCCAATAAATATTTATCACTTACTTTAAAAGTTTTTTTTTTAAATCATGATCCTTCTTGAAGGGATTCTTGGCTGGATTCGGCATTTGGTACTCATCCAACCTCGTTACTGAGATTATTAGAGCCTTGAGAAAGAAGACAGATGACTTCAAGGATCATTGAACCGAAACTTTCCATTCGCTTGGGACAGTCCCAGGGGCTATTACAATTTTCGAGCAGGTTTCGGGTCGAACTAGCACCTTGAATAGCCTGATGCGGGTGCTTGGCATAATCATAAACTCTACTTTCAAGAAGAAACTCAGGCAAAGATAGGGCTTGCACACTTGTTATGATACTAATGAGTTCCTGTCCTGAGAGAGGGTCATACCTCCAATAAGAAAAATCTCTTGTGAAGTCTTTACATCGGCCCTGGCGTAAAAAGAATGATCATTTTCTGCTTATTCCAGTGTTACAAAAGTAAAAAAAAAAAATCGGTATTGGATTGATGAATGCATTCTGAGAAAACGCATGAAATTCACTTAGGAGTTAATTGCGAACGACTCACAGCTGCCTGTAATTGGCCCCTATGATCGGCCAAACGAGAAGCCCCTGTTGCCTCATTTACACAACAGTGAAGCTATTGCAATCGTGCACATTTGGGCAGAGAAGCACGACGAGGACGCAACGGTGCATGAAAAATTGGCTTCTCGCGTAAGTGCAGTGGGTCATTCCCTCTGAAGTGTCCCAGTGACTGTAGGGGATCTTCTTACGGATCTGAATTAAATTTGACCTGCATAGTGCCCCTACCGAGAAATGAACATCGGTCGGTTTGTTCTGCGTTGGCACGCGTGGTTTCCGAAATATGGGGTCACGATGTTTTGACGCCGTGGAATGACATCATGAAATGCAGAAAGAATGCTTGATACTCATTTGAAAGCTCTTGGAGAGTTCTTTCAATTTCTGTTGCTGAAGTAACCCAGCTTGCATCACATGGAGGGTGTCCGTGTCCTTTGACTACCCTTCGTGCCAGAATCAAAATTTTAGTTTTTTGTTTCTTTGCACGAAGCTGTGTGCAGCATATAGCACGGGCTTTTTTCGCACATCAGCTTAAGTGCAAGAATTTTCATACGTCTGGAAAAAATACCGCCACTAAGAAAGAAAGCACCTGGGGTAGAAAGGGGAGAGGCAACGCATTGGCAGCATTCTGCACAACATAGTAGACAAGAAATGATTGATTCCAGGACAAGACAAGTGTGACCGCACTAGAGATTGTCTACTTCTGGGGTGACTATCGATAAGTTGGCTACCGGGGTAGGGCAATCAGATGTTCCTGGGTGAGTCGGACCCCATCATGCGGCATCCAGACCCATCGGTCCGCATGCCACCGGCCATAGCGTATTTTCGGCACGATGCCTTAAGGGTAGACCAGGAACTGAACTAAGTAGTAAACGTCAGGCAATAGACTGGATATCAGGACTTGGAACATTCGGCGGTAAGTAGCCAACTCGTGGAAGAGATTAGTGAATGTCGACTGGACACAGTCGGCCAAGCCAAATCTAAAATTTCCAAGGATGCGAAAATTTCGTTTTTTAAGAGCGTTTACCTTCCCACCCTCACCTATGGTCATGAGCTTTGGGTAACGACCGAAAGGATCAGGTGGAATTAACTCATTGACTCTTGGTTGTCATGATTGTCATCCTGTCAAAGTTGAGACAAAGAATGACAGTGATGTGTCTGCCCGGCCATATTCTGAAAACGAATATTCAAAAAGCTAAAATTCCTTTACCTTGGCGCGGATTCGAAGGTTGAACTCCCGGTCTCCGGCGTCGTAGTCCAATGGTTTGTTGAGAATCAAGGACGCAGATTGACTACTTTTTAGTTGAAACATCCCTCGTTCGTTACCATCCACGATAGTATAGATGACATCCGAATTGGGTGTGTTGGACTTGTCATTGTCGATGGCAACGATACCGTTGAGGATGGCGATCCCCGGCGGCGTCAGCTCCTCCACCTTCGCCGTGTACGGCGTGTTTATGAACGTCGGCACGTTGTCATTCACGTCTTCCACGTACACCGTCAACAGCAGGCTCACTGGTTCCTACGGTATCAAGGATCGCGTATGTTAGGTCGGTTGATAGACGGGCAAATTCCACGATGCATATTTTGTATTGTAATCGATATCCAGACTATTCTAAGTCTTGTTGGCTTTCATTATAAGTTGATTAATTGGTATTTTTGCGTCATGATTCGATTCAATGCGTCTGAAGGAGGAAGGGATTGTGCGCTATGCTTCCCATCTGGAAGACACGTCTGGATGGAATTCTTCAGAAGAGAGCATTTTCAAAATGAAATTTTACATTATTCTCAACCATGATGAACCATTTCCCGCAAACTTCCAAAGCATCTGCACACTTCTTCATGCACTGCGTGAGAAGGGGAGCACAGGATTCCACAGGTAGAATCTTGTTTTCCTTCATTTTTTTACCGGTCTGCTTAGCCCCAATGAGCGCATTCGTATATTTGGGTTTCTCGGACATCTCACCTTACGCTAAAAAATTGTCTCAGGATATAATTGCTTTATATTGCTGAATTCCTTACGTTTGTCAAACATATCTTAGCAGCATCCGCATCGCATTGCGCCCTATCTTATAGGCAGTTATTCGATATTATCCCACTATCACACTAATGAGCCACCATTATGCAACAGTGCATATTTGTTCAATAGACAGCATATTATCATGCATCTGCGCATAGTCCGTTCTCCGCAAAATTTGCCCATTCCATGCGTGCTTTGCTTCAGTCATTGCATATTTGCCCAATTCCTTGCGAAACTCATGTCAGTTCCTACCATCCTGCCTTCAACCAACGAGAACGGAGTACAGTAAGCCCGTCAGTAAGAATACCATCGTTTGACTTGTGGTTGCAGGTCCCGGTGACAACTTTTCTTAGTCCTAACTGGGAACCATTAGACGTAGGTCACCATATGTTCTCGTTAATTTGGACTTCAGGGAACCAGCGATTTTATTTCTCTCTCCAATTCCTGGAATAAGGGGACGTGGAGGAGCGGAAAAAGAACCAGGAACACATTTTCTTTCGTGTTCCATATCTTCGTCTAGCAAGTCTGGACTAACGGGAAGAATGACCCTGGGAGCAAGAGAACTCGTCCGTGTAAACGGGAACTCCTGAATAACGGCGTTCGGATTAAACAGGTAATTTTAATATAGGTTCAATGGGATTTCTGCCGAGACCATTCCTCTCGTCCGAATTAACGGGAGCGCCGGATTATTGGCGTTCGGATGAACGAGGGCTGAATGTATGGCGAGTGCTAAGTGCAAGGGCACTATGGAATGAAGAGGACAAGGCGTCACGGGCTGATGAACATTCAGATTTTCAGGGGTGGTTTTTTTTTCTAGGTTATTTCTTGGATTTTCTATGATTTCAATGACCGCATCCGATCCTCTGGGACAGATGTCAAACTGAGTCCGATCAGATCTGAACCACCGATTGTATGAATTCATACTCGCCTCTGCTATGAAGTCACGGGGATATGGTTGAAAAGCCAAGCTTGCTAGTAAGATGCAAGTTAATTATGGTGAAGAAAATATTTCAGATCGTCGATTTTTATGGATAAATAACGTCTGTCAGTAAACTTCCGTACGAGGTAATATGCAAAACTGTAACAAGGCGGACTTCTGCTCTAAGGTTGGGATCAGGATGGTCATTAGGGTAAATGAGGCTCTTTTTCCTCAGATGAACTCCTAAAGCTGAACCCCATGGTGAGGAAAGGCAAAATGATGGTTTATGGCAAATTCCATGTCGAAACAATTGCATGTCGACAGATATGACAAAATACATTATGATTTGGAGGGTTCATTGGCTGTAGGAATGAATGGTCGAGTTGTCTGATGATAATTATGTAGTTCTCTCCAAAATTGACAGTCTGAGTCATGGCATTTGTCATTTGGGCATGTGATATAATAAATAATTTATCTCAAGTCGGCAGAGTTGCATGTAACATGCAGACATCCCTTGAGTAATGCATGACTCCGCAGACTTCAAGAATCGAAACAGATGGTATGAAAGTAGCTCGAAGGTAGCATAAATCAAAACTCGGTCATTGGAAATCGAACACGATAATTATGGCTCGACGGAATGCCAAAAGTCAGAATAATGAAGGAACTCACGACGGTATCGGGTCCATGGCAGATGAACTTGAACTTCATGACACCGTTCCGTTGCAAGGAATCCACGACGTCATCTAACGGAGAGGCTAGGAGGACCCCCATCCGCTCCGAGTCGATTTCCACGAGGGCGAAGAACCCGTGGTCATTGTTCTGCCAAATGCAATTCAAAATCGTGTCAAATCACCAGTGGCCGTAGTTCTGCCTAATAGAACTCAGAATCAGGGTAGAATGCCCATGGTAGTTGTTCTGCCAGACAGAATTTATTATTCAATGTCCCGTGGGGAGAAAGAGACTCCATCTGGCGCGATTGTGAAGCCCGTAGTGGTCGATCGTTAGACTGTCGTGAGAAATGGGCTTTCCAACTTTTCACTTTGTGACCCGACAGACAGGCCGAGCCAACTTTAGGTAACGCATTGTGTGATGCCTCTAAGCGTAGACCAGGTCTGTAAAATTCCCACTTGCCAGCTCGCCAGAGGCGAGTACTTTTTGTAGTTTGGCAATTGAAAAGAAAACAGCCTGGCTAGCGAAAGTAAACAAAGAAGCACCCCATCCACCCACCTCCCAATGGTACGAGTTTGCATTGTCCATCGTAAAATCCTAGACGCGTTTTTATTTTGGCCTATCCGTGCAGGAGCCGCTTTTTCGACCGTGAGAGGGCGGGGCAAAGAAAAATGTTGTCTGGCAAGTGTTTTTAAAAAATTGTCACGACTGCTCGAAACATTAGGGAAAATCGAGTCTTTCCCATACTGCAGGGATGCATTGGGGACTGGGCGGAGGTGGACGACGCCCAGAGACTTTCTTTTGTGATTGGAATTGGGCACACCCCGAGAATTTTTTCCCTTGATAAAAAAATTACCTCTATCTCTAGATGTCATTAGGCCTAACTAAAGGTCATTACCCACAATGCTAATTATATTGTATTCTCACGCCGTGGTGGCGTAACCAGGAGGGATGCATGGATTCGGACCTCATTGTAGGCCTAGAATGTTCAATATCCATCCTCAGCGCTGCCGTTAAGAATAACTGACAGGAGACCGTCCAGTGCGGCATACACAGGTAAGGGTAGGGACATGTCCTGGGTGGTAGGGGAGGGGGGGAAGGGGGCTGGGAGGTTGGAGGAGATCCAGTTTGCTTCTGCTTCCTCACATTGTACTCAACCTTGTCGCGAGTTTGCTCCTACAGCCCCCCTCCCCCTCCCAAGTAACCTTCGTGGTTGATCCCATCCAATTGGAATATCCTAAACGTGTCTCTGCCATGGGCACTCTCTTGAATAAAGGAAATTGTTAGAATAAGGAATGGCTACGAATGCACACTAATGCCCACTGAGTTTTCCAAGTCCATGGATATAGACCATGACTGATTTCAAAACTGCAGTCCATTTCAAGTTCAGTTCCAGTTCCAGTAGAAACGACATGCATTTGAAATTGAGGACTGTGACTCAACGTGGAACGGTTAGTCCTAGTCTGGGGGGAAGCGGTGGGAAAGAGGAGCACCCGGGAGCACCACATTGGGCGACTCTTCGGGGCTCACATAGGGCCAGCACTGGCCCTCGGTCTCTTCCGTGCAATGTTTTCGTAATTCTAGGATTTACTTAGGTATTCAGGAAGCCTTTGTGCCCCTCACCCCCGGAAGTTGACTATGGTTACGCCATTGTATACTGTGTCAGTAACGTCATCCGACGGAAGCCCACCGCATCCAACGGTGTGGCCTCTAAGCACTTTTTAAGATAGAACACCTCTGCCCTATTGTCCATCCTTTAGAGGTGGAGATGGATGACGAAAAACACTTCCACCTTGAGAGAAAAAAAAGCAGAATTCTTATGCATTCACGTGACACAAGAGCATTGCATATGCTTACATTGCCGATGGGAGCGAGCTCCGCGAGTTGCCGATCGGAGGCGGAGATCTGAAACACTTCCCCTCCGACCGGGAATGTCTCCGGAATCTTCCGGAAAAACGCGGATTCCCCCGGTACGTGGATTTGGCATCCTAGACGAAAACAAGAAAAAACACATTTCAGTTAGAGCATATGGAAAATTACAGATACCCTTTTCAAAGCTGAGCAGCCAAAGAAAATTACTCGATTACTCTGTATTCGACTGGTTTTATCGCAATGAACGTATCAAAGAACTTTCTAGAAGCTCCTTTTCGCATGGGTTGGATAATTGAAGTCACTGTGGCTTTTAATCGCTTTTCCATCTATTACGAGCATATCCTAGGAACTCATGTTGCTCGGGAGGGAAAGGCGAAAGTGACATCAGCGAACATTTCCCATTTAAAAATTCTTTATTCAACAATTCGTCCTGATTTTGCATTTCAAATTGGAACGCACGATAAAAATGTAATTATAATTGTGATTGAAAACTATTGTAATCTGCATTCGATCAACTTAATTTGGTTGTAACTTCTCGCACTTATCCGAACATAGATCTGACATTTTATACGCTGCGATGGGGACAGTTAACGGCGAAGAAAGTGAAGAAAGACAATGGGGGGAACGACATGGAACTGGATCGAGGAGTTATCATTTTTGGTTCATCTCAAGAGTTTCATCTTCGTCTTCTTTTCAGCTTCTTGCTTTCATTTCATCAAGCGAGAGCGAAAGGGTTCAGAATCCATCATGTTCAGCGCCAACGCATATTTGGAACGCATATTTTTTTTTACTAGGCATGGCTAAAATTGCTTGCCGGTTCAATTACGTCATCACGCCGTGAATGGTCCACGTGCAATAGGCCGTGCATCTCAAGGTGCATCTCAAGGTGCATCCTCCCGATTCAACGAGTAGGAGCACCTTTTAGGACCAACTGAGTTTCGTATAGAATGACGAGAAATCAGAATGCCGGGCTTAAATCGCAAGATATGACTCTGAGTGACGCCCACAGGTGGATGCTTTTTCCTTCTCAATCCCTGAAATTCGACACGGGATTCACCTCTCCTGGTTTATCAGCTTAACGATGCAGAGGGGAGACCTGGGGAATTAAGTTAGGCTTTCGAGCAACAGTTGCCAAAAGGATATAATGGGTTCACGGGCCAAGGAATCGAGTTTATGGGTGCACTTAGATATTGAAGATGATTGATTCCGAAATTACAAGTTACACAATAATAATAACATGCGTCATGCAGTGAGGGGCATCGGTACACGCAACGATGGAGCAATTAGCTAATATGCAGTGTAAATCCTATTCGGATTAGTGCATGCTCACAGTGCGAAAAATTCCATCACGGAAACGTTTAGCGGAAGTTCTATTCAAATGAAACATAATGCGATGTCCATCTAGCATGTCTCTTCCTATTGTTGCATATCTGGGGTACTGGTGGTTAATGATGACCAATAAAACTAGAGTATGTAAAAAGTATTATGAATGACAGGAATAAAGACAGGAGAGAATAACTCACCGTGAACGGAGTGGAAGAGACAAAGGAAGACGGTGGAGACGAGGAAGAGGATTCCATCGCTGCTCCACCTCATGATATCCACCTCATGATATGAAGCCGATCATGGACTCTCCGTCCACCAAGGAGACAATAGCAGGGACACGTCTAAACGGAAAGAAATGGAGATAGAAAAACGGACGGACGACGGACAGGTCGGCGGGATGATGAGAAAGAATCTGGACGCTCGGTTTCGGTCTACTTGGCGACGATGAAGAAGTGGAAGAAGTTCATGCTCCATGCATTCATGATTCTCTCCCCAGCATGAAACAAGAGAAAAAAAAAAAGACGCGAAAGAAAACTGGAACTTCTTATCCAGTTCACGGCTCCTTGGGAATCCAATCGACCGGTCCGAATATTTTTTTCATTCGAGGAAATGACTCAGGGCCTCTTACTTGGAAATTTTTGGAAAGGAGAATCCCCCCCCTCATCGTCTTCTCTTTTAAAGCGTACAAAAGAAGAGCTTTTCGGTTGAGTGAAGCCTACAGGGTACCAAAAGAAGTTGTTCCTGGTTCCCTTCCGTTACTGATGAAAGTATAAGGGGGGGAAAGTAGAATTTCTCCTTTGGATATGCTGTTCCCATACCTTCCCCTATGCTTCTGACTTTTTAATTTAAATATAAGTAAATTACTTGACTGGATGATGTGAAATTCAAGTAAACCGCATCCAGAATGTGACGCGTATTTCATACGAGGAAAATTCAGTGAACTAAGGAGCATATTCCTGCAGGCTGTATCGGAAACTTAGTTGAAAAAGAAAAGAAAACATTACAGAGCAACAAGTTTTTCGTTTGTTTTTTTTTTTATGCGGAACGAAGTCTCTGAGACAGAAGATGCAATCATGGCAGACAAGAAGCGTGAAGCATATCCGGTCGCGTCTCAAAAGATTGATATTGCAGGGAATTTTCACGCCCTTCGGAGCGTTTTCAAAGGGAGAGGGGAAAAAAAAAGTTCCTTGACGGAATTCCGGGGTCATGACACTGAGCCGAGTCTACTCTCGACGACTCATGGGTCCCATGAATTCATTTGAAGACATCTGGCGACAATGAGGTGAAGTGAAAACTGGAAGGGAGGGGAAGCGTGTGAGGGGGGCTTGACGAAGGCGCCGCATCCACTTTTTAAATACGGAATTCGGGGATTCCTCGCATTTCAGCGATATTCCACGCTTTCACGGTAGCTTAGAATTTGAACGATATTCGTGCGCACGGACTTCTGCCTAGAGCATCAGAGGGGCGATTGAGAAAAATCATGGACTAGAATGAAGTTAAATCCTTATTTTATTGCGATGAGCCTGCTTGCTTTGAAGACAGGAATTAAGCTTGGTTAAGGACAGAGTCTTGCAGAATTTAACTTCATGTTATATTGGTAAGATATGTTCTCGAAGACATTGAGGGTAATACACGTGCACACTATGATTTGAATATGTCGTATGGTTAATTGACCTCATACATGATACCGAACTCACTTTTCAAACAAATGAGATGAACTGGGCACAGCCAGCTTTGCTCAAGTAGCAACCCTATAGATTCTGTTGATTATGTCAAAAATTCCGGCTTGGGTTTTCGTCACGCACCGTCCATTATCACTCTGCAGCGTTACATAAACCTCTCATCAGATGATGCCCATCATTGTCAAAATGAATGGAATGCATGCATAGAATTTTTTTTACGAAAGCCCTGCATGCCGATCGAATTCAATTGCCCAAGTTCTAGTTTTCGGGAGATATTACTACTGCAATGACGCGATCGAGGTGTTAGGAGAGCCAAGGCCAACAACCGGATGCACACCAAGGCACCAGGCACACTTAACTCTTGTCCTGTTCACACTAGGCAAGGATTCTACTCACTGTTGCGACAGGATGATGATAGCTCGAATACAGAAAATTATCGTAAAGGCGGCATTATGCTTGGGTGCATAGCATGGGAAATGGGCGAATTCAACCAGTTTTTCCTTTCCCTTCCCAGCCTGATAACTCCCTTCTTATATGTTATGCATGAAATATCACCTCGGTATCTTGAAGAAACAGCCGTCTATACCCGAGCATTCATTACAGAATCATGAAAGAAATAACGAATGCTTTAATGACTCCCTACCTGCTCCAAATTTTCGTTTTTACTTCGCACAATTGAGTGTTTGCTTAGAAAATTCAGCACCGTGGTTGGGCAGGTGACAAAAAAAAGAAGGGGGTTCATGAATAGCTGAAGGGATTTTTGAGTGGCATAGGAGTGGCTTTGTCGAATGAGGAATAGAGACAATCGGGACAGGAAGGAAGCGGATCCCGATGTTTGACGATGCATGACGAAGCCATGATTGCCCTGTGGCTATCCTCCACTCAAGTGCATTCAAGAACCGGGCTCGAGCGCCGCAAAAGGAGTCCACGCGTTCCACACACTCTGTCTTCTTTCCCACACTTGACAAGTACTAAAAGGAAAACTTTGTGTATTTGGGTGAGCATAGCCTTTTCGCAGGTTCGAAAATGGCAATATCTCACGTCCATGAGATTGTCAATCGGGGACAGTGAAAGGGCATTATTCATTCATTCATACCCTATAAGGTTCATTTATGGTTTTGTGAATCATTTGATGCAGGGACGCTCATAGGATTTCCGACCTCCATTCAGGTTACAAGGAGAAAAGGGGGAGGGGGGGGTTGGGGAAAGGGGGAGGAGGGTTGAACTCCTCCCTTCTTCCACATAACGGAATGGAGGTAAAAATTCCTTGACGCAACCTTGATCTGATGTTTTCATTCGCGTGGAATTCCGGTGGAGAAAATCTGCCAACGTTCATTGGCATATTGCACCATTTTGTTAAATATCTCAAGAATGAGTTGAAACTTATCCAAAAAAGGTTTTTGGGCGGATTAGATCTATGTCTGTTTCTGTGAGCTTTTGCAATATATCCTCGTCCACGCCACGTCTATGACATTTCTACCTAGGGCATTGGGTACTCGTCGGCTACCATGGATCGACTCGATCGCTGTGCGATGACGTGTCTGCACGTTCCTTGGACGTCTCCAACGATCTTTCTTTCAGCTTCTGGCTGAGGTTTAATGAGAAGCGCAGTCGGACTGCTGTTATTAGCATCTTTAGTGTCTTTGGCCCAAATGACTGGCCGGTGGTCTGCATACAATGCATAACTGTCACAGACGTACAACTGCGGAAAAGAAAGAAACCTGGTTGTTATTTGTCCTTTTCCTCTCAATTACCATGTATAAGGTGTTACCCCTAAAAGGTCTGTGATATTTCATCCAAAAATAATCGTCTATCAGACTCGGAGTCTTCTCCTTTATTTAAAATTTTATTGAAGATCCATTATACTTCAGAAAGTCTGCGCGAAACAAGGTGTGTGATTATTGGAGACGCTAACTATATTGTTTTAAAGCAAATTATTTTGTGTGCTCTATTTGTCCGTAGGAGAGAGAGTTCCTTTATACAGTATGTGACTCATCCTCCCTACCCAAAAGTCTGTAATGGAATGAGGGAGATGATGTCAGGCGTAGTTTCTTTAAGAGAGTCATCTTAGAAATTTGCCATTGTATTCTCTTGAATACCCCTTCCTCTAGATGTTTAAATTTGTTTGTGTTTGACAGCACTTCAGAAAATATTGCAATAAATGGGATTGCTTTAAAAAAATTTTGATCCATCTACAAACTATCGTATATTTCTAATTCGCCGGCAAGGTCAACCTCCATTGCCTTCCCCTCCGTATAATCATGAGTTAGTCCAAGGTTCCATCGAAGGAGGTCCACTGTTTGATTTAACTTGATTAACTTCCTTTCATTTTGATAAAATAACCAATAATTAAAAAGAACGTTAGCGTTCTTTAAATTTTTTATACATGTGACAAGCTTTCATTTCTCAAAATAAAATATGGAAGTTTGCTGACACAGAATATTCATTTTATGGAATATCCAGGCGTAGCAATAATTTTTTTGGACTGACCTGACGGAAGTTCGTTAACCTGCTTGCCCGTGAATGTACGCAGTAGTAATCGGATGAAATACCTTCACCAAACATATCACGCAATGGCGAGACGAGTGAACGCGCATTGAATGGAGGGATATTTGGGCTCTGCCCGAGTCCGATTCCCTCCGTCGGCAGAGCTTGTCTGAGACCTTTTATTTTCCACCACTCTTACACGCACTAAATAGACACGTATGATGAGCAGAGTTTGGGTTCAACGCCCGCTTCGTATATCATCTCAAATGAGATCTTCATATGGAGAGTCTAATTTAAAGCAAA